CGATACATCGCGGGGTCCCTGAAGCAACCATAAGCGACAGCCTCAGTTGTAAACGCGCCAACATGATGGCATGATATTTATTATTCTGGTGTTGAAGCAAGTAAAATAAAAAGTTCATGCCAGAAGTCGAATCGCCGAGTTATTGTCTCTTCCGGAGTCGTCAAACTGAATTTCCTACCGCTTCTTAGTAAGTGCGCTCGTAAATTGCAAATTGTTCGCCAACGATAGGTTAATTAGCTGCAGTTTCCCGATATAGCTACCGGGTTGTCACAGAGCTCAGAATAAAGAGGCACCGTTCACCCACGGCTCTCATCGGTGGATCCGGACATAGTGCCAGCTCCTGGCGACATGGACTCCTAGCTCTTCACCTACGATTGATCTGAAGTATTTACCTGACAACGAGTATTGCGATGCATTTTCCGCAGCTGTTCATCCCCAATGAATTTTGAGTTCCACTGCTCAAGTCACACTGAAAAAAACAAACAGCAATAAAGGGCCCCTAAAACATAATTCAAGTGAAGCCCCTGCTCTTAATTGGTTGCAGGGTCTAGCTTACATGACCCTGCCTGACTCTGGAAACAGTAGAGAGAAGTGTGGTGATGTGTTCAGCATCGTACAGTCTCCTTTTAATTAAATTGTATAGTAAGTATATTAAACCCAATTATATAAAATATATAAACAACGGACGGGGGCTGCAGTGTGTTCACCGTACTGCCATCGTGCTCGATAAGTTCGAGGCACCCCTAAAAAGTACCTTGGCATTGCGTCGTGTTTTTTGAAGTTTGGATACTCGGGGTCCGTCCGCCAACAATTTGCAAGTATGGTGAAAAGTACGGTCACACCAGGCCCGTCAGCCCGCCCACTTCTGTGATTTACTTCAATCAATCAAACCTTAAACACCTGTGAACCTGGGATTCTTTGCAAAACAGACAGGAAAGCGATAGACGCTCGCCAAACATTTCATACGAATGGAATGTCGCATCAGATGATCCACGTGTGCCTAGGTGAAATACCATGCATTGGCTCAGGCCGGCATCCAACCTAGCTGTACATACTGCGCACGTGATGACATGGATCCTTCTGTCAAATTCGGCAGCGCACCTATGTCTTCCATGAAATAGGAATACAATTGAGCAAAGCTGTGCCGCATATCGTTTGGCATCTCACCGCCGTTCAAATTTCGCGTATGGTAAATATTTTGCAGCGGCGGTCCGCTGACATAAGTTCCAATAGCATTAATCCTCACCCGCGAGCAAAGGAAGCAGAAAATCTCTTACGTGCCTCAGAATCCTCAGTCCTTGACGACGTTATAATAACATCGTCAAATAATTTGACGTATTTGAAGCTCGTGCTTGCAAGCCTTTTTTTATGGAGATAGAATATCTAGAAAAATTCCGTACAAAGCTACTATCCGTGCGCTCCGTAACCTGAAACGGAGCCTCCGTTTCAGGTTAGAGGATTTGAGAGGTTGAGAGATTGGAAGGTTTTTGCAATATGCTTTACATCCTTGCACGCTTTGAAGCACATTTAAAAAAGTAAGGCTCTCGCAGCTTACCTTTTGCGCTGACAGTTTTACAGGGTGTTTCCAATTAGCGATGTGAATATTCACGCGGCTGGTAGCAGCTTTCGCAGGGAAATTAATTGTATATTTTTACACTATAATGGTAATGGATATTTTACAGTCCAGGAATGCGATTGGGAGGAGGAAGATCGTCGGGCCTTATGGAAACGGTCTTACCACTAAGTTAACTCTAGTTCATGATCCTATGAAATATGACCACAGGGCTTGCGTTATTCTTTTAATCCTTACTGCTTACAAAAGGCAGCTGGACGTATGCTTGACGATCTTGCGACCTTCACCTCTGACGCCCGCCTAATGGCCTAGGATATCAAGAACATCCTGCTAAACATTTTACATGGCGCTACGAGTTGTTCCTTTGGCGCCATGTATGGTTTCGGAGACTCTTGGAAACATCACGACCTCTAGCACACCTCTAAGGTCTCCTCTAAGTCAACTCTAGTGAAAATAACGGGTTGCTAATAGGAAACAAGTCGGGTTTCGGCTTCCTCAAAGCCGGAAAAAGGGCGGGCCCCCTCTGCATCCGTACAGTCCGGTAGCTAGCGCGGCACGTGTGACAATTGATGGGTAGTGTCAACGCGGTGGGAGATGTGATTTGTTGCAGCAGTGCTGATGGTGTGAGAGCTAAGCTTGCACCGGCGGAATCGTCAGCACCGCCTGTGGGCTTCACGTGAATCGCATCCATCCCGGGTGCATGCTGCATGGACAGTGCGGCAGACCGCAAGTCGGAATGCCCGTGAAGGCAAATGGTAACGAAAGCTGGGTGAATTTCGGTGCTGTCTGTGATGTTTATCCCCGAAGCGCCAGCAACCTCAGCAATCCGCCCCACAGCCGCGGGCTTCATTGGGGCACACCGCAACTCTTCGGAGGCCCCGTGCATTGGCCAAAGTAAATGTACAAACAAGCAGCTTGTGTATTTCATAGAGAAATGAAAGCAAATTATGTTGTCCTGCTGGTGGCAAGTCGGATTGCCCATGCCGGCAAATGGTAACACAAGCTGGGTGTTCGAGTTATCATACGCCATCATCTCAGAATTCCATTATATATTCCCGCCGGTAGCTTTACTGCCCATTTGTCAGCCTGGAAGGGGCATTTGCAGGGAGAGCCAAATTCCTCCCTCTTCCATTGCCTCCCGCTGACCCTGCTGTACGCCATCGCGAGGAAGGCCGTAACTCCCTGGCGCGTTATGCCCAGCGGAAGTCCCGACACTTCCCACCGACGCGGCACTATCTTATCCAAGCCTTTAACCGTTAGTTCCACGTTTACCGGCTCCTGGCCGGGGTAGAACTCCACTCCGCCTAGCTGTAGGCGCCCCTCCCTGAGAAGCTCGCTGTTGGTGAGCCTTGCCAAGCTGCCCGGTGGCATCAGGACTGAGATCTCCATCCCAGCGCGCTTATCTTTAATTGGGAAGATGCGCCGCTTCGTCACTGCGGGCCCTTCCAAGGCCTCAAGATCCGCTGATTTTGCCCATAATTTCAATTTAGAAATCATGTGCTCTACTAGTCGCCCATAGCTCTGAGCGTAGACATCTGAAATGTCGGAGCCCGGTGGCCAATGCGCGACCAATTCCCATGTCTCCGGACAGAGCACGAAGAGCCGCTCCGTCGGTGACGCGAGGATGATGAGTTCGAGAGGAATAAATTCCTCTCGTTTTACTTTCCTCTGGGCCGTTTGCGGCCATGTGGCCGTTGCTGTCTTCCGACCAGTTTGAATTTTCGGTCGGTCAGCGGTCTTCGCCGCTCTAGTTTGCAACATTTGTTGCGTCGAATTTAATATGACATTTAGACGTTGTTATCAAAATAGCCATAAAGATTTCGGACCGTGGTAGCGGTAGTGGTCAGGGCTCTAGTCGCAGTATGGTGCGGCTAAGTTATGCCCATTTTGTACATGTATGTATGTATGTATGTATGTATGTATGTATGTATGTATGTATGTATGTATGTATGTATGTATGTATGTATGTATGTGTGTATGTACACACACATACATACACACACACGGACATGGGCAATCCTACAGGTCGGGGGCCCCCTGGGCGCTTCGCGCTGGGGCCCCGCCCAAAAACCTCCTCTTCACTTTCACATGACGTGTCACAGAACGAACGCCCTTTGACGCCATTGGCTTGATCAGGCCCCAACATTGTTCCACAAAATTCCTGTTAGGGCCCCTCTCCAATCTGGCAAAGGCCATGCCAAAAATGGACCGGAATACCAAAGGAAGGCAACTTGGAAAGGAACGGGTTCGAGTTTTCCTTTATAACTGTCATGCTCTGTCACGCCCTACCTTGCTGTAACTCCTCCAATTCCAAGATGTCATTACATCTAATACTATTCGCCGGTTGCCTCTCTGCCGTTCCCCTTTGTTTACCCGTTATCACCCTTCTCTATCCAATCCATGTCCACGCCGCTGCAGAGGATGCTCGCCTGTTTTGCCGCTTGTCGCAGGCCACACACAGCCTCATCTTGTGGTTCCCCTCCCGACGCATCGTGCCCGTAGCACAAAACACAAACAGTCCGGGACGCAGTCCGGGACAAAGAGAGACAAAGCAACACACAGGAGGATCCGACGCATTTTTGTTGCAGGAAGAAAGGCAGGACTTCACACATACATATAAGGCCAGAGGGGAATTTGTGAGGTGAAACTCCCAACAACTCTTCTTGTTGCGCTAATCCTCTCCTGACGACGTTGCATCGAGAGCTCCTCCAGCTGTGCTGAAACGTCGCGGCAGCCAGCGCACCGCTGGTCAGGCCCCTGCTGGCATGACACAGCATAAGCAAAAAAAATAACCACATGTCTTGCGCAAAGTCTTGTCACATTCCTCGCCAGGCCAGGCTCCTTGTCCCGTACCTTTATCAAAGGTGTTGCGGTTCACGGTTGCTACCTATGACCTGTCTGCTCTTCTCTGATCCCCATTTCCCTGCTCCTTAAAAAGGTACTCCGGAATTCCAGCCAGCATCCACACCACCATCGAAACCAGGGTAAAGCATATCTTAAGAGAACCTGTACAGCGACCGTCCACCCGTCAATGCATGCATCCCCATTCCGCGACTGAGCAGATGACGGTCGGTCAGGTTACTACTGCTTTCCACTCTCCCTAACCCACTCTCCCTAACCCTATCCCTAAGCGGATATGCATACATGCCCCCGGAGGTTCCAGGATCGAGACCTGTCAGGGTCGAAAATTCCTTCTGATGGTGGAAAGTAAAAGTGCCCCTAGGCGATGAACGGTGGTGACCTGGGATAAAGTGATCTTGCGAGCTGACCAGGAATGGAGTTGCGCCGCCGTTGATCCGGCAGATTCCGTTGGATGCCGGTGGTAGGTGTGGAACCTGAGCGATCCACTGAGGAGCTGACTAGGGTAACTGGATGAGGGTGCCCCGAAATACCGGGGAAGGCAGGGTCTGCCGGGTAGCGGTAGCGGCCGCAGGGTGAAGTTATGACCCCCCTGTCCCACACATCAGACATACATACATACTCCAATAAAACAAAAGTAAAATGGGCGCCAAAAAAAGAGACACACTCACATAGCACTCATTCCGTCGCCATTGCATCGCCACCACGCCCCTCGGTGTTTGGGCTTTTAAGGACACACACATACACACACAGTGTCACACAGTTGGTCAGTCTGTAGTACCTGGTCAGTAAGACCCGGTCAGGAGAACAGTCAGATACAACGCAAAATACATACATACATATATGTGTATACATGTGCACACATCAGCTTGACAGCTTTCCCCACATACCCCCGTCAGGCCCGGATCGATATGTAACCGATACACACAAACACACATCACACACTCTGTGTGTCTCTCTCTCTCTCTCAAACACATACATGCACCCCATCACGTTTTTCTCAACCTGGACAAAACACTAGTACCCCAGCGTCCTCCCTCCCCTGCCCTTCCTCACACAGACACACATACAGAGATACAATGGCAGTTAGAAAGCACAGTCAGTTACATCATCACAGCTTAAATGCTCGCCACTTCGCGATCTCGGTCTTCAATTCCATGTTGGGGGTCATCTCGCGGCTGCTGATCCGCACCCCACTTCCCGGGAACTCCTCGTTCCCGAGCTCCAGCCACATCTCCAGCGCCGACCGCTCGTAGTTGACCCCGTCACTGGCGGTCACCGGCTCCTCCATGACGGCCAGGGTGATGGGGCATACGTACCTGAGGGCCGGGAGGAGGAGGCGGAGGATGGGTGGTTGGGGTGGTTGGGTGGTTGGGAGGTGTGGGGAGAGGGCGCAGAGGGAGCAGGGTGAAGTGAAGGGTGAAGTGAGGGGTCGAATAAGGGGAGCGGGGAAAGGGAAGTAAAGTGAACCGATGAGTTAATGAAGGCACATACAACCGACCGAAGGCACATACAACCGACCGACATGCAAGGACTTAAGAGAGCACATACCTACCTACCTACCTACCTACATACATACATACATACATACACGCCCCTACTCGGCGAGTCACCTGATGCTTCTCGGCACCGTTCAAGAGCGGCTAAACGCCACTTGTTATTTCTTCAGGCTCTGTTTCACTCCCCACATCAAATTCAACTCGGGAAATTCCACATTGCCTATGTTTCTATGCTGCTCTGGTTGGTATGCTGCTCCCCCACCACGTCTAGCTGGTGGCTATTCGGAGCTCGCTTCGGTGCATTCGGATGAAGTTATCCCCATGTACCACCATATATCGCCTATAACTCGGCTCACATCATTAAAACACACACACACACATCATGCACACACACACACATCATGCACACACACATGCCCCCAAACTCCACGACCATCACCATCATTGCTCCTCACACACACAAAATCTCAACCCGAGCCCTACGACCCCGTGAAAAGAGGTCGTAGCAGCCCCAAAGCAGCAGCAGCAGCAGTAGCTACCACCAGCACCCCCGCCCCAAAGCTCAACTACCACCAACTACCTGGGGGGCGGCAACCCAGCCTGCTCCGCCGCCGCCGCACGCTCCGCCGCCGCCTGCGCCGCCGCCGCCCGGTCCTTCTCCTCCGCCCGTTCCGCCGCCGCCGCCGCCGCCTCTTCCTCCTCCTCTGCGCGCCGCCGAGCTGCCAACTCATCGCGTAACGTCTGGGGCCAAGAGGTTTACGGCGCAGGTGCAGGAATTCGCGTGAGTGCGTGTGTCGCCCGTGCGTAGTCAGTGGGTGGGTCGTCGCCAGGGCGGTGCCGTTACCGCACCTCTGTATACCTTCAGTCGCCGTGCCTTCATCATCATCAGCAGCAGAGCCACACCGTACCTGGCCTGGGCTCGAGCCACCCGCGCCGCCGACGACCGCTTTTGATGTCCCATGGGTCGTTGAGGACGCACCGCCGCCGCCGCCGCCGCCAGCTGCGCTCACCGGCTCGTCGTCGCCGCCACCGCCGCCACGTGACAGCCGTGCGGGCCGCGGCACCGTCATCGCCAGCGGATCCGTGGCCGCAACCGCTGCCGCCGTCGGCGCCGCAGCGGCAGCAGCAGCAGCACCCGCGGAACCTGCATCCACGCTGCTTCGCTCTGCGTCCAGACTCGCGTTGGAGCGGCGCCGTACAGATTGGTCTCGGAGAAGTGCGCGTGTGCGCTCGACTTGTCGCCACGTGAGTTTCAGTCGGGACATAGGTGGACGGGAAGTCAGTGGTGCGCATACATGTTTTACGTGCATACTACATACATGCATACATACATACATGTATGTTGTTACAGGGTGGTTAACTTCGCCAGCGGCCCCCTTTCCCGGGGCAGTCCCTGCTCTCCCCTGCTAGAGGGGCACCCTAATCCGTCACCCCATCCGACTTCAGAATACATACATGTATGCATGCGTAGGGGATGGGGGGGAAGGGCTCCATTCAGGCCCACAGGGCTCCGTTCACCGCCGCCAGTTCCCCTCTCCCCCCGTTTTCCCCCTCCCACCTTCTCGGTACGTGGCCACTTCGGCCTCCTGCATCAACACCCGCACGTAACAGCCGCCCTACCCCGCCCTGCCCCACCCTACCCCGCCCTACCCCGCCCTACCCCGCCCTGCCCCACCCTACCCCGCCCTACCCCGCCCTACCCCGCCCTACCCCGCCCTGCCCCACCCTACCCCGCCCTACCCCGCCCTAAGGGATCTGATATTAAGAACCTATGCAACCCAATAACAGCCCAATGCGGACTAACGTAATTCCATTTCCGCTCCATTGAGCAAATGTAGTAAACCAAGGAAATGGCGGAGCTAAGAGATCCCTTAAATAAAGAAACCCGGGTTCTGCTGCCGAGAGCAACAACCCCTAGTTCAACTACCTAGGTCAGCTGCCATCTCTCGTCAGAGGACCAACCCCCCCGCACAGCCCCCCCACATACAAAGTATTTTTGCACGTATTATGTTCCGGGCCCAACGTGAGACATTGTAGTAAGGCAATCTGTTCCTTGTACAACACCGTACGACACTGTACGGCACACGCACTCACACTCGGCCTCGTCGCGCTGTGGTGCCTCCACTCTCGTGAGTGGGTCCAGGAGTCGAAGCAGTACATTGGCGGCGGCCTAGAGAACGCGAAGAAAGGAAGGATATTGATGATGATGATGATGATGATGATGATGATGATGATGATGGTGATGATGGTGATGATGGTGATGATGGTGATGATGGTGATGATGGTGATGATGGTGATGATGGTGATGATGGTGATGATGATGGTGATGATGGTGATAATACGTACACGAGAGGTGAGAGTGGGAGAGAAGGATCAGAAAGGTGCGGAGTAGGACAATGAAAATGAACACGGCGGCGCGAGCTCATACACCGGACGTGACGTGACGCGCTGGTTCAAAGCACAAAATGCCACATAGGAGTCGAACAGGAGTCGAACAGGAGA